GATTATTGATTCCTACAAATGTTTGATTTGGACTCATTTGATTGATAAAATAAGAATTTAAATGCTTAATTTAATCTTAAAATTTTATTTAAAAATACATAAAAATCTGTATCCAAATAAGTTAATTTTTACCACATATCAATACTAATATAATATAAATTTGTAAGAATAAATTTCCCTCACTTTTCTTACTTTAAATTACTATACACAGAATTTTACAACTTGCAAAATTAAATAAGTAGTCCGGTAAAAAAATAAATTATTTTATTTTATTTCTAGAGGAAATATTATTCATAAGTCAAAATATTTGTCAAACATTTTCTAAATATCTTGTCTTATAAAATAAAATAAAATTAATTTTCTCGAAAATGCTTAAGCAAAATTTGTCCTAAGAAAAGTTGTATTGTTTCCTCCTATAAATAAACAGCGCACTCGCTCTCATATTCCGTCTCTCACCTTCTGCCTCTCTGTATCTCTCTCTGTGTGAAGCAATGGCGGCCAAGGATGAGCACATGATCCTCCGGCACGAGAACGCGAGGTATCGCGACATCGCCCGCCATCTGGTGCTACGCCGCAAGCTGACGAGGAGCAAATTCGCGGAGCACAAGGCCGGCGTTAGCCCTGAGCTAGACGAAGCCAGGATCGATTGGGTAACTGCGCTCACTCTCCTCATTCAGAAGCTGCTCTCAGTAATTAGCTTCCCACTTCTGTGTCTCGGCCACATTGTCGAGTTTTTCCTCAACCTACACTCCCTCAACGGCGGCTTCTTCGGCATCCTTCGCCGCTTCCTTACAGGTCTGGATCTAATAACGATCACCTTTTTTTTGTTTCTCTTATGCCCTTGATCGCATATATTTTTGTTTTTTCGATAAATTAGTCTTAAGCTTCTTTTGAGATTTTTTTTTTGTTGTTTTAATTTTCAGATCGGTAATCATAATTTTTATTTGACGATTTTTTTGCTTAAAAAATTAATTTCTCTATGCTGTAGCGAGTCTGGACGGAAGAACTATCCATATTATGAGTTTATATTTCATTTAAGAATTGGGTGAATGCTCTGAAGAGTTTTTCAAAGTTGTGGTGGAAAAGATTCTGCAATTGATTGCATCAAAGATAGCATGGAGGACCATTATAACCTCTATTCCCACTAATTAGTGCCCTTGTGAGTCAAACGTATATAGCCCTCTTTTTCCCCTAATTGATTAACAAAAAATGATAATTACAGAAACTACCGGCATACTAATTATTACAGATCTGATATCAATTACTTAAAACACTCCAGCTGGTAAGATTCAGTTACGTCAAACCTCTGTTCCTCCACTTCTTCTTATAGCGATCATGGCCTGGCCAGAGATGCGTTGGGGTGAACCTGCTTGAAGGCTTTGAAGATGCACTTCTTGTATGAATGACTGAGTTTTTCTAGGTCTTCTTTTTCTTTCTTGCTTGAGATGGCAGCCTTAGTCGGCAAGCAAGAAAGGAAGGGGGGTTAGACTAGAGAGATGCAAGTTTGTTGGACGTCAAGTTTTGTTTGGATCCAAGATATAGCAGCTTTATTGCTTCAGAAATTAAAAGAAGAAGAAATAGAAAAGGGGGCTTAACCTAATTTTTTAATATCATTTTTAAAAAAAAAGGCTCAGTAAAATGAATTGCCCAAAAAAAAATTAATATCATTTTTTTTTCAAAAAAGGAGCTATTTACATAATTACAGTGCATTAATTTAATTACTC